CCATGATCACAGAAGTACACCATTCTGGCATACTCTCTGTTAATACATACACTATGCAGACATTAACCAACATGGGGGCATGGCACAGTGGCTCAATGGTTCTCACTGCTGCCCCACAGCTTCAGGGACCCAGATTCAATTCCACCCTTGAGCGACTGTCTGTGTGGAGTGTCCACATTCTCCCTGTGTCTGCGTGAGTTTCCTCCAGTTTCCTCCCACAGTCCAAAGATATGCAGGTTAGATGGATTGGCTGTGCTAAATTGCCCGTAGTGTCCAAGGCTGTGTAGGTTAGGTGGATTAGCTGTAGGAAATTCAGGGATAGAGTAGCGGGAAGGTCTGGGTGGGATACTCTTCGAAGGGTCAGTGTGGACTCAATGGGGATGAATGGTCTGTTTCCACACCATTGGGATTCTCATTGAGACGAATATAGTGATGCTGTAGAAATACCAATGCTAATTATTCACACTGTGTGTCCAGTGCTCTGTGCCCAGTACTTTGCATTTACACTGTTCTGTGTCCATTACCTGTGTGCCTAATAATTTGTGCCCATTATACTGTGTCAATGCACTTGAATGACCAGCACCCTGTGTGTACGGTGTGCTCCATGACCCGTATTCTCTGTGGAACTCATTGTATGTTTATCATTATAACACAGTTGTATTCAATGTGATTTTTTTTTCCAGCCATTTCACATACCTGTATTTAATTTTTTTAAATAAGTAAGTATCTTCAATAGAAGATGGGAGAAAAGGAGTGAATGTAGAAAAGATCTATTAAATTTATTTAGAGAGGTTTCTGTGACTGCAGTCCTTACACAAGAGTCCACCCTGACATCAAAGGCTGAATTCCCACCCCCAACAGAAATCCTGATTGTGTCAGATATTAGAAGATTAAGAATTTCAAACCCATTCAAATTTAGCTTTAGCGTATGCAGAACAAGCAGTGAGCAAGCAAAAAGGCAAATTGACAATGTGAATATTTTAGACTGTCAGCACCTGATTGAATCTGCTTTACAAGTTCAACAGCAGCTGGCTGGATTTTCTAAGCAGGAGTGGGAGCTCAACTGACTTTTCTGTCTCTAACCCAACAGCATGTAGAACCTGAACTGCTGTTCCAGTTGATATCAGCATTGACCAGGGAGATGGAATCTGGGCTCCTGTGGTCTGGATGGCTTATTCCTTTATTAAATAGTGGCTGTATTGTGATAACTTATCAACAAATTTGAATGCAGAAAGATAGTGAGGAAAAATCTTGAAAGGTGCAAATGAGAGAGAACTTCATTGTGGATAAATAAGCCAGTAACAATATGAGGAAGATAAATCTGGAATATTACTTCAAATAGGAGTGTACATGTTAAAGGCAATTTTTGGACAAAGACCAGTCAACGCAAAGGATGGATGTCCAGATATTTCAACTTAAAAGAAAACCTTTGAACAAATTAAGAAGCAGTAGGAGACCGTGGTGCAGAGATTGTAGGGTTCTCTGCATGACAGTACTGTCTTTCTCCATGTTAAATATTTCATAACTAAATTCCACAATTATCACTCTTAATTCACGACTTCCACAACAAAATGAAACACTGTGAAACCCAAGCATTTGAATATCATGATCTCAGGTTAAGTCCTGGCTCTGTGTTAGATTTGTTTGTCTAAGCTGAAATGGGCGTAGGGTACAGTGCAATTGGCTATTTTAACCCTGGGTTAGCGAAGGCAAGGAAAAAAAGGACAAGAGTGATTGCATCTGTAAGCAGTGGGTTAAACCAAAAATGTTGTGAAGCATGAAGCTGGAGCCAGAATTAAAGACCTAATTGGAGTGTATAAAATGATGAGGGATCAAGAGAGGGTGATGGAAAAGCCGTATTCACTTTTTTGAGGGGTCTATTACCAGGGGGTCTAGATTTAGGGTATGGAGTAGAAGGTTTAGACAGGATTTGAGGGTAAATGTTTTAACCGAGAGGATGGTAGGATTCAGGAACTCACTGCCTAAAAGGGTGTTGAGGTAGAAATTCTTACAACACTTAAAAAGTATCTGGATATGCAACTGAAGTGGCAAAACTTTCAAGAGCTGGACAGTAGGATTAGACTGAACAGCTGTCTTTTGGCCAGTGCAAAATGATGGCCCACATGTATGCTGTAAATTTTTATGATTCTGTAAAAATGTACTTTGATGTGACTTTTGCTTCTGGATAGGTGGGAGGCTGGTGGGGAAGGATGAATGACATACATATCCTTGACTTATTATTCCTTTTTTATATTGGCTCTCATTACCACAGAGTATCATTTCAGAATGGCTACCTACACTCGAAGGCTATCTGAATATTCCTTCCAGGAAACCCAAGACACAACATGTCATAACACTCTGGAACCAGATTGTTTCCCACTTTCAAAAAGTTCTTCTGCCACCCTATTCCCCAGAAGGGACAGCATAGAGGAAAGGCCGACCATTAAACAGGAACTGAGGAAGACCCTCAGTGGCTTTGTCTCTCCAAGTGAAACTGACATGAGGTGCCCTTATCATCCGTCTTGCTTCACACCGCAAAATAATTTCACTGTGATCCCCTTATGTCGCTGCTTCCAGATGGGAACCATCCCTGATGCTAATCATGCCACTGAACTCCCAATATTTCAGGATAATTTGAAAGTTCACTGCAACAGCCACAGGAGCACCAACTTCTCCATGAGAAGGGACGCAGACACAATGTTATGTGCAGACTCAAACCTAGGAAAATTGCAGGCGAAGGTGATGCACAGAAGTTGCTCAGATATCGTTTGTGATTATGGGGAGAAATGCTATCCAGCTGATGCTGTGCATACTAAGACTACTGCTGCATTTCAAACTCCTGTGCTGGGCAGAGACTATGGTACAATTTCTCCAAGTGAAATGATGTCTAAAGAATGTAACCAGAAGATTGTGATCAATATTTCAGAGAGTGAAATTGACACTAGGCAACAGGAAAATGACAGAGAAAGTAGAACCATTGCAGACTACCAAGTCAATAGTATGGAGAATGACATATGCAGTCCCATGCATCAGGGCCAGCTCATGTTTTCAGAGAACTCTCCCGATTGCTCTGGTGTCAAGGTTGTCCAAGAATCTGGTAAAAAGTATCAAGGCAATAATGTGGCAGAAAATGAGACAATCACCTTGGGTCAGTGTAACATCACATATCGGGAAGGAGTTGCCTCTCATCAAAATAGTTTAATGGGTAATCAAACTTGTACTAGACACCAAAGCCACTTGATGTCTGGTTTGACGATTCAAGACACCACTCCTGCTTATTGTCATTCACTGCCAATCCCTGCTATCCATCTCTTTCCAAGACTAGTCAGTTCTGTCAGTGAATCTGGAAGAGGAACTGTTGTTGATGCATGTTGTCATCCACTGCCAGTTTCAGGGATTCTGGCATTCCCAAGGTTGGTGTCTTCAGTGAGTGAATCGGGGCTAGATGCGAGGCATCTTCTGAAATGCCATGGAACACTAGAAAATGAAGCTATTCATGCTGCAGCTGAAAGGAATTCTCATGACACTTCCAATAAGAATAAAGTGGAACTGGAAAAATTTACTCACCCTTTTTCACCAAGCAGTCAAAATAATGATGTGGGTGTAAGAACACGAGACATGTGGACTATGACAACAGATCTGACCCTTCGATATCATCATCAACTGGAACGTAAGGATGCAGGGGTACAGACCTCCTTGGCAGTTGACTGCAGGTCAGTAGGCACTAGCCCCTTGTCTCCAACTGATAGTTGCCTAGTTCATATGTTTCCAGAGGTTAACCTTGACGAGAACCAGCTAATCCAGGAATCTCCAGTTCGGGAAGTGAAATGGGATGACAAGGGGATGACGTGGGAAGTCTATGGGGCTTCTGTAGACCCTGAGGTCCTTGGGCTGGCTATCCAGAAACATCTGGAGATTCAGATAGAACAACATGAAAAGGACAAGATGTCAACAGCTGAAAAGACAGTGAAGCAGTTGGATACTCATGGTGATGGAACACGAGTGGTGGGACAGCGAGTAAAAGAGAAGAGACATTTGCCAGGTTTTAGGAATATGATGTCTACTTTAAGGCATCCAACATGTTGTGTGCGTTCCAGTGCAGCAATAGACTGAATAGCATTACCCATTGCAAAAAGTGAAGATCACATAATTGTTGGATGTTTCAGCACTATTCCCAAGACATAAAAACAGTTCTGGCTTTTCCCCTAATCTAATGTTGACCCATAAATGTCAAAACTCATTATTTAGTAAGTGTTTATTTATAATACACTGATTATTCTTTCAAAATATTTAACAGGGTAGCTAAATGAGAAGCTATGGAGAGGGTAGAGACGTCAGAAAATGTAAGACAATTTTTCCAGAAGATTATAAGCTATTGATAAAAAGGTGAGGTTTGGGTACATGTCTGGGTACAAATACAGGGTGCTCAGGTAGAGGAGGATAAAGACAATGGTAAAATGATTGTAACAACATCGGTGGTGGGGAAAAAATGACATGTTTTGCATTATGCTTTTAACTGTCTTGTTTTCGCTGCATTGAAGAATATTAACCTTTGACAAATTTGTGATCCTTGTCAAACATGTGGTGAGGTGAAAGTTAATTAATTAAAAATGTACCAGTGAACCAAAGGTAATGATGAAAGCTGAGGCAAGACAGCTAGATGATTAGTGTTAGATTCCAGGTTGAGCTGGTCATCTTGTAAATGGTAGCCCTATAGACTCAGAATTATAATGATACAGCACCAAAGAGGGAGATTCAGCCCAATGTGCCTGTACTGGCTCTTTAGTAGAGCTAACAAATTTGTTTCACTACATTGCAATTTCCCCATGGCCTTGTAATTCTTTCCTCTTCAAGTATTAAATTTTCTTTCAATGTCACTCCTGGATCTGCTTTCCAATATTTTCAGGAAATGAATTTAAGATCACAGCAACTTACTGTCTAAAATATGGCTTCGTCATATTTTGTCAGTCATCTTAAACCCTATACCGCTGGTTACTGACCCTTCTGCCATTGGAAGCTGTTTCTCCATTTGTACTCCATCATAACCTTTCATGGCGTTGAATACCTCTATCCAATCTCCTCTTCAGCTTAATAAAATCAAGAACTGCAGATGCTGGAGATCTGAATCAAAAATAGAAAGTATTGGAGAAACTCAACAGGCCTGGTTGCATCAGTGAAGGAAATAGCAGAGTTAATGTTTCAAGTCCAGTGACCCTTCATTAGAACTGGCAAAGAGTCACTGGATTCATAACATTAACTCTATTTTTCTCTTCATATTTATCTATCTATGTCCCCAAGTCTAATACTATCCTCCTCATTATTTACTCCATTTCCAAGTTTCATGTCATCTGCGAATGTCAAAATCGTGCCACATATAACCAAGTCCAGGCCACTAAGATATATGATCAAAAAGACCAGTGATTCTAATATTAACCACTGAGCAATGCCTTTTCTTTCCAGCATCAAATACAACCATACACCAGCACTATGCTTACTTTTCCTTAGCCAATTTTATATCCATATTGTCATCGTCTCATTAATTCCATATGCTTTAATTTTGCCAGCAGGTCTATTATGTATTGCCAAATACCTTCTGAAAGTTCAGATGCACAGTGTCAAATAATGGGAAACTATGGCAAATATTCAAAAAAATCTTAAATTACAAAAAGAATTGTAAAATAAATCGAAGCAAAAAATTTGCAGGGTCTGAGGAATGATTAAAACTGGTCTTTAAGATTGTAGCAAATGATGTAGGTTTAAAATTATCATAGAATGGGTAGATGGACATATACAAAATAAGAAAATGGTGCTACAAGTTGGCAAAAAGACCCTTGTATGGATGAGTAATTTGTATGCAATGTGAAAGTGAACATCATTAATGATGCAAAAGAAGAAAATAGAACTCAGTTATATAAAAGACAGTCAGATAAAAGAAGCAGGGTAATTAAAAGGCAGTTGGATAAAAAGGAAAGACTGAAAGAAAAAACTGCAAGAACATGTTGATGCTGGAAATGAGAAACAAAAACAGAAATTGCTGGAAAAAATCAACAGGTTTGGCAGCATCTGTGGAGAGAAATCAGAGTTAACCCCTCAGGTCCAGTGACCCTACTTAGTTCTGAAGAAGGGTCACTGGACCCGAAATGTTAACTCTGATTTCTCTCCACAGATGATGCCATACTTGCTACGTGTTTCAAGCAATTTCTGTTTTAAAACTGAAAGAAAGTCTGACTGATGATCTCAGAGTTTACAATTTACAGTGCATAAACTACTGAGTCAGAAAATCCAGTAAGAGATAAAACTATGGAGCAAAATGTGAAGATAAAGTCAGAACTCACTGAGTGTGGAAGGGGTTTGCAAGAGGCAGTGCATCAACCCATGAATATGTTTGACCACAAATAGCATAGCATAAATATTTATAAATTGCAGGGTAAATTGGGCTGATAAGCAGCATTGGTGACTGCGGTCATGACCAGGAATCTGTGAAAATGGGCAAGTATTAGATCTAAGGTCAAACAGAAAAAAAACTAAAGAAGTACAGTGAACTTTGGAAGAGGATAGAAAAAATAAGGATGATTGTTATTTTATAAATAATGGGGACTCCAAAAAGATTGTTGTTGTATAAATAATGGGGACTTCAAAAAAGTCCATTGAATCACCATTTGTTGTTGTCAGGTGAAATACGCTCAATTGTGTGATAGTACGTCGGAGAAGGAGAGGCTATTCATTTTTCTGAGACTGATTCTTTAGCTAGAGACTGTTTAGCCCAGGACCAATTGCAGAAGATGTTGGCCCAATGGATGTATCCCTTTAGACTAGCAGTACCAGTGTAACTCACAAAGAATTAAACAAGCTAAACTAGGAAAGGTAATAGGGACAATATAACAACATATGATTAAGATTTCCTTAAATGTCAATTATTCATGCTGCTGGTTAATTACTTGCAGGATATTAGACTTGATATCATGTGTACCTTGGCTATGAACCATATAAATGCCTTGTGGACAAACTATGCAAGAACTGCAAGAATACCTATAGGTTTTTGCAAACAAACACGGGCTGATATACCAGGAGCCCCAACTAAGGGCTCCAAAGTCTTCAGAAGGGATTTTTTTTTAGTCACATCCACTAATCAACTTGGCTTAAGTACCAACAAGATGATTCCATCAGTCAATATCTTAAGAGCTACAATTCAGGATGAGTGAATCCTAAATAACCACATACCTGAAGTTTCACAAATATGCTAATATGCTATGGCATTTTGAGATTAAGAAGTGGTGTTGGGTGTCTTGATGAGCATTAAGGTGGATAAGTCCCCAGGGCACGATGGTATCTACTCCAGGTTATTGAGAGAGATAAGAGAGGTGATTGCTGGGGCTTTGATCACGATCTTTGTATCCTCGTTAGCCACTGGAGACATCCCACAGGACTCTCGAGTAACTAATATTGTTCCTCTATTCAAGAAGGGAAATAGGGATAATCCAGGAAACTATAGACCAGTGAGTCTCACATCAGTGGTTGGGAACCTGTTTGGAGAAAATTCTTAGGGATAGGATTTACACGCATTTGGAAAAGCATGGCCTAATTAGGGACAGTCAGCATGTCTTTGCACATGTCTTACTAACTTGATTGAATTTTTCGAGCAGATGACAAAGGTGATGAGCAATGGATGTTGTCTACGTAGATTTTATTAAGGCTTTCGACAAGGACCCTCATGGTAGGCTCATTCAAAATATTAAGATGCATGGGATCCATGGTGATTTGGCAGCATGGATTCAGAATTGGCTTGCCCATAGAAGGCAAAAGGTAATGGTGGAAGGTTGTTTTTCAGGCTGGAAGTCTGTGACTAGTGGTGTTCAGCAGGGATCTGTGCTGGGACCTCTGCTGTTTGTGATACATATATATAAATGACTTGGGTGAAAATGTAGATGGCTGGGTTAGTAAGTTTGCAGACAATACAAAGATCGGTGGAGTTGTGGATAGCGTAGAAGGTTGTCAAAGGATACAGCGGGATATAGATCGGTCGCAGATGTGGGCGGAGAAATGGCAGATGGAACTTAATCTGTGTAAGTGTGAGATGCTGCACTTTTGGGATCTTGGGGTTCAAGTCCATAATTCCCTGAAAGTGGCCACACAAGTAGTTAAGGTGGTAAAGAATGCATATGGCATGCTTGCCTTTATTGGTTGTGGAATTCAGTACAAGACTCAGGATGCCATGTTGCAGTTTTATAAGACTTTGATTAGGCTACACTTAGAGAATTGCATTCAGTTCTGGTTGCCACTTTACAGGAAGGTTGTGGAGGCTTTGGAGAGGGTGCAGAAGAGGTTTACCAGGATGCTGCCTGGATTAAAGGGTATCAACTATAAGGAGAGGCTAGAAAATCTCGGGTTGTTTTCTCTGGAGCAGTGGAGGCTGAGAGGAGACTTGGTAGAAGTCTATAAAATTATGAGGTGCATAGATAGGGTTGATGGCCAGAAACGTTTTGAAATATCTAAAACTAGGGGGCATGCATTTAAGGTGAGAGGGGTAAGTTCAAAGGAGATATGAGGGGTATGTTTTTTACAGGGTCATACGCCCTGCCAGGGGAGGTGGTGAAGGCAGATACAATAGGGGTGTTTAAGAGAGTTTTAGATAAGCACATGAATATGCAAGGAATGGAGGGATATGGACCAAGGGCAGGCAGAAGGGATTTGTTTAATGTGGCGACGTGTTCAGCACAACATCGTGGGCCGAAGCACCCATTCCTGTGCTGTACAGGTCTATGTTCTATGTTCTAAAAATTATTGATTGCAGAAGGGCCAGTGGGTTGGGAAAAGCATGCAAAATGATAGGACAGTAATTGATGTTACTACAGTAATATTTTTTTAAAAAGAGCCATTACTCCACATGTTGCCAAAGTAATGGAATGTTTTCAAACAAGTAGGGAAATTGGACCTTAATTGTCCATAAACCATGTGGAATTGAACAAAAATGAGATGAATTAGTAAGTTTTCTGACAACCAACAGCTGACCAGACTGATGAAGGCAGTTACCCACTTGCATAGATCAGAAGTGGGGAGACTAATGACAGGTAGGGAGCATTTGGTTGAGCTCCTCAGATGGGGGAATCAATCTGCCTAACCTCTATGTGCTGGCCAATCAGTGGGACAGTGAGAAGGAATTGCTATGACTAACTGTCATCAACCACTGAACTATTTGGATGAGGTGTAGTAGTGAAATATCAACATTACATTTAATTTTCTCTTATTCATTCAGGGGATATGGATGTCACTGGTGAGGCCTGCATTTGTTGCCCAGGGTCATGTATAGGCCAGACAAGGTACAGAGAACAGATTTCCTTCCCTAAAGGAATGGTAGTCCATTTGTGAACCAGATGGTATTTAGACAATTGTCACACAGTTGCCGTTATATCAGCTTTTAATTGCAGTTTTCTGTTAAATTCTGCTGTGGTGGGAATTCAACCTAAACCCCCAGAATATTAGTTTGATTCTCTGGATTCATTGTCCAGTGACGTTACCACCATCTTACCCTAAATGACGTTGTGCTTTTGTTTGTGAAAGCACTTACATTTGCGAAGGTGGTCATTGTCACTGGACTAGTAACCCAGAACTCCCAGATTAGTGTCTTGAGGGCAGAGTTCAAATCCCAGCAATGGCAGATGGTGAATTCACTAAAATCTGAAATGAAAAGCTAGCCTAATGGTCACCATAGAACCATTGGGGTTAAAACGCATGTGTTCTGCTATTGTCCTTTAGGGAGGGAAATCAACTCTTGTTTCTTGGTCTGGCTTATGTGTGATTCCAGATCCACATCAATGTGGTTGACTCTTAATTGGGATAGGCAAAAAATGCTGGCCTCAACAGTGATGCCTACATCTTCTGAATGTGATGTGAATCTATGTTGGCCAATAAATCACCCTGCTCTGCCTCACTAGCAATGAACCTATATTGATTACAAGAAAATGGAGTTACACTGAGATTATCTAGATACAGAGGAAAAGTATCCACAAACAGAGCATGTGTAACCCTTGCCCATCCTCCCACCATGCCATGTGTTCAAGCTAGAGTCACTTT